GAGAGAGAGAGAGAGAGAGAGAGAGAGAGAGAGAGAGAGAGAGAGAGAGAGAGAGAGAGACCCCAAACTAACTACCCCGTCCCCCAAAACGACGACGACGATGACGATCAAGTGTCTGCCGCTCTGCGCTCCTCTGCTGCACGACGGCGACGGTGACGATCAAGTGGGACATTGCAGATGTCCTCCACGCCATGGACACAACTTACTTGAGCTGATGGCTCCCATTGGCCGTGGTTTCTTTCCATCAGCTCCTCCAATCTTCCCTCTTCGGTCGTTGCACTTTTGAAATCCACCCAAACCAAAAGAAGTGGATCAGTTCTGCTTAAGGTTAGCTTGACTTCTGATCTCTTCCACCTCTGAAGGTTATAGGAAACAGGAAATATCCAACCTTTGTTCTCTGGCTGCAAAGTGCTAAATAGACTTTCTGCAGAAAAAGACACCTCTTTCCTTGGTGATACTCTGGAGGTTCTTTGCCAAGCCTCATCTCTTCCTGCCTTTTTTTAATGTGGAGGCCATGCTTGCTAAGCATCCACGTCTTTTAACAATTCTCTGACTTGATTCCTCCATGTTGGGGATCGGGTGAGAGACCCTGACATGGGTACACACCCCGATCTGCTTCCAGAGTCCGATCTCAGTTGTGACCCTGAGTCTGGTTACAGAATCTAAGTCTGGCTATGAATCCTGACCTGGTTATGGACCCTGATCTGTTAACAGACCTGAGTCCGGAAACAGGAAATATCCAACTTCTGTTCTCAGACTTGCTGCATAAAAGACACCTCTTTCTTGGTGATACTCTGGAGGGTCTTTGCCAAGGCCCCACTCCTCCTGCCTTTCGTTATGTGGAGGCCGTGCTTGCTAAGGTTCCGCGTCTTTCCACAATTCTCTGACTTGATGCATACATGTTGGGGATCTGGTGAGAGACCCTGACATCGGTACAGACCCGGATCTGGTTACACAGTCTGATCTCAGTTGTGACCCTTAGTCTGGTTACAGAATCTAAGTCTGGCTATGAATCCTGACCTGGTTCCGGACCCTGATCTGTTAACAGACCCGAGTCTGGGTACAGAATTTGATCTGGCGATGGATCTTGCCCTGACCCGGACCCTCATCTGCTTGCTTACAGACTATGACGGCCTGGTTACAGACCCCAATTTGGTCACTGAATGTGATCTAGGTACAGACGCCTGATTTGTTACACAGAATGTGATCTGGTTACATCATCTCATCTGGCTATGGATCTTGCTCTGGTTGCGCACCCTGATCTCGTTACGGACTGTGATGGCCTGGTTAACCGAGCTGATGGTGGTGTGTTAGAGATTTTGCTACAGATCTTGATATGGTAACCGATACTGGTCTGGTTACAGAGTTTGATCTGACTGTGGATGCCGACCTGTTCGCAGACCCTGTTTTGGTAACAGACTCCAGCCTGGCGACAGCATGAGATCTGGGTGCAGACAGTTGAAAAGCAGGTGAGGGGGTGGGCGGCGGGAGGGAGGGATAGGAGAAATTTCCTCTGGGAAACATGATGGGTTGATGTTGGAATTGCAACACCAAACTACGCGAAGGAGATTGGATGCTGTGCGGTATAAGTGTCCAGGTGATGGAAAATTTATTATGGTTTTCTTTCGTGATGTGTGGATTCAGTGGCAGAGTCTCCAAAAGAGGTGGTGGAAGATGTGGCAGATGAAGAGTTTGACGATACACCCATCGATGAAACAGAACACGCGAACATAGTTTTTATTGGGCATGTCGGTATGTGACAGTTTGCCCCATTTACATTACCTACTGTTCTTGCATTGCTTCTTGAATGTCTGTGTGATGCCCCGTGAGTTTTTTGAAATGGTTTTCTGAACGTCTGGCAGTCAAGTTGCGGTGTTTTCTGTCGCTTTGTGCATTTTGTATGGGGGTGTGGTTGGTTCGGGTTGGGCGGGGAGAGAGAGAGAGAGAGAGAGAGAGAGAGAGAGAGAGAGA